CCAAAGAGATCGACAGAGGGGTGTGTGCTATGGACAAGTACACGATTTGCATCCTTGCACTAGCTCTACTGTCTCTACATCTCGTATGCTCTGCTACTGTTGCTCAATGTAAGCACACCAATCGGGTTTAATTTTTTCACTCATCGAAGTATGTATGTGGTACTATAGCCAGTGAAGGTGGCCTTTCTTCTTCTTCTTTTTTGGTCCAAATAATCTGTTGCGCGTTTATTTATTCCGCTCTAAAATATATAATTTGTTCGTTTGTCATTCCATAGGTCGAACCATGGCTGACACGGATAGCGAGAAGATCAATTTACCAAACGGGCTATGCCATAAGGTAGCTCCGTATCGATGCGTCAAAGAGTGCTTCTGTTGTTTGCTAGATGAGTGGTGCTACGCGACAATGGATGAGTGCGCGATAAAGTGTAAATGATCCTCTTCTTCAGAAGACATACTGGTGGCGATGATATCCCCTCCTTTACCTGTTCCTTAATTTCGCAGCCTAGTCAAATTGGATTACATGCATATTTACATGTCCCGAGAAACAAATGATGCCTGATATATATTTGGTTTGCAATAAGATCTAGTAATACTGTCGCTGAGTATTTGGTTTGGCAAAAGAATGAAATTCCAATAGAATCTCTTTGTAATTTGACAAAAAAAGTGCCAAAAGTATGAATTCTTACCAAGTATAGTTTGCCCCACTAATAATAGTGTCTAGGCCCACCCTTGTCTCTAGGACGACATTGTCATAGGGGCGGCGCCGTCATTCTCATACTTCATCTCGCCTCCGGGGTCGTATGAAGCGCAATGTATACAATCCGGTGAATGTATGTTGAGACGGAATTATTTTCTTTGGGAGTGCGTGAAAAGCAAGAATATGTGGAGATTCACGTGATTTATGGAAGCAGTAGTTGAAAGATTTGCCTGGTTAGTAACAATGAGCACTGCAGCAGTGGAGCTCATGGTGCAGCGACAAATTAGCGATTGATAGCACCTAATCTCTCATGTGGATTGATTTTAATATCAGACGTACACCATGGTTTGAATCGGACGGCCTTCAATTGGTCTGGTATAGGTGTAATTTATCAGTAGTCTGATGCCTAGCGGTCTCCTGTGGAAATTAAGGATGGTGTGTCTGCTTCTTATGGGGCCATAGTTTTCCCATGCAGACATAAGTGCCTAAGCTCAGCCCTGGTGGTAGTGGACAAGTGATATCTTGCTTGATCCCACAACTCCCACTTTGTTGATTAAATAAGAAGTCAGAAGATCAGAAGCATGGTGCAGGCCTGCAGGTGTGTGGCCTGTGGCATGGAGGTTTTAAGCCGGGAACAACCCCATGATGGATCTGGAAAGCAGGTGGAATTAATCCTACAAGCGACGCTCGAGGCTGCAAGGTTACAGAGGAGGAGAAAAAAACTGTTTGAGGCAAGATTTTTTTTTATAACATGAAACGTGAAAGTATTTAGGGGAAAATGTGAAAATATTATTATTATTTAAATAAAACATGAAAGGTTTCCCTTTTCGGGCTTGCTAAATCTCAGTCGACATTCCACAGCGACTATATCTCACCTTAACCGAGACAATATGATTATGAATTAAATAAAGTCACCGAAGTTAAAAGAAAATATGCATGTCTACATGTATCGTCTATAAGAGAAATGGATAAGAAAAATGGGGGGCACAGGATTCTATCCTGAGTCTTTGGGACGACAAGCAACGCTGCTAACGAGCGCGGTAGAGTCTTGTTTGCAACCTATTCTAGGGCCCTGTCAACTTAAGGAGACTACATCCGGTTTTTCACAGGGTTTTTTTCCTGTCCTTTTTATTTTAAATTGGTATTTCCGGTCCTTTGTTTTTTGTTTGGTTTTCTTTTTTCTTCTTCATTTTTTGTTTGGTTTTCGTTTTTCTACTCCATTTTTTCCTTATATTTGTTTTTGTTTTCACTCAACATTTTCGTATATGTCAAAAAAAATGATCAACAAATTTTTGTATATCACCCGCAAAAAAATGGTTTTTTGTATACAAGTTCAATATTGTCCGAATGCTTATTCAACACTTTTTCAAATACTTGTTCAACATTTTAATACTTATTTCAATATTTTTTAAATACTAATTTAACATTTTTCAAATACTCATTCAATATTTTCAAATACTTTTTCAACATTTTCAAACACCTTTTCAACTTTTTTCAAATACTTGTTCAAGTATTTTAATTCTTATTCAACATTTTCAAATACTTGTTCAGAAAATATGAAATACTCGTTCAACATTTCTAATACTCGTTCAACATTTCGTTGAAATGTAGAATATTTTAAAGTATAAAGAAAAGTACAAAATGAAAGAAAAAAAACAAAAGACAAAAAGAACAGGCCGCGGCCTCCCTTGCGGCCGGGCCGGCCCATCTGGGGCTCCCCCTGACGCAAGGGTTCGCCCTGGTCTCGCGTAACGCGAGGAATAGGCGCTCATGTCGACATGCCGGCCGTTGGATCATTTGTCACTTTAAAATTCGCGCAATTGCCTGACTGGTCTCAATTTGACCTGGTAAGGCGCGACCAGCCCATTTCCTTTTTGTTTTTGTGCGTGCGATGGGCTGCCCAGCAGCAGCTGGGTACCATTTTCATTGTTTGTTTGTTTGTTTGTTTGTGCAGTGGAAACTTACTGGGGCAGCCCACTCTCCTATACACATGTATTTTTTTATTTCCTTTTTATATGCTAGTGGTTATATTTATCATTTTTTATTAAAAATTACTTGTATTTTAAATTTCTATTTTTTGGAAAATGGAACATCTAAAAATTTGTAGAACGGACAGTTTTGGCATACATGAATGATTTTTACTCTTACCTATTGATGTCTTTTTTCTACATGGATTTTTTTGTTAATGTGTATGTTTCCCTATTCTCTTTATCATTTTTAATTTGTTTCATTCATGTATTTGCCGACAAATATATTTTTGCAATGTTTATATGCCATGTTATTTACTTCAGGCTGATAGAAAAACAGTTGATTTTATTTTTAAGTTTCCACTAAAATAATCTAGTGTTTCCTTACGCACAAGTGTAATTATCGGAATCCACATATAACTACAAGGGGTGCAACATGCATGCAACTGTGTTATCACTAGAGGCTTCTCTGTTGAAACATAGCATACGGTGGTTAGACAAACTATTGTTGGGCAATTGATAGAAAAGCGCATAGTTATGACGACATTCATGGCAATGATCATGTATATAGGCACCACGTCCGTGACAAGTAGACTGACTCTTGCCTGCATCTACTACTATTACTCCACCAGTTGACCGACTCCTGCCTACATCTACTACTATTACTCCACCAGTTGACGGACTCCTGCCTGCATCTATGGTATTAAACTCATGACACTTAGAGTAACACTTTAAGCAAGATAACATGATGTAGACAGAATAAAACCAAACAATATGATTAAACCCTATCATTTTATCCTTAATGGCAACAACACAGATACGTG